CTACTACTTTGCTTCCTCAGCTTTAACACAATCCTTGAAGCAATATGGAAACAGTTCTAGATGTACTTGTCTATCTTAACACCAGCTCTAGGAATCAGAGGATTGAGTCACCTGAATTTTCCATATGGGGGCTCTCACCTAGTAAGAGGAACTTAAACATCAGTTTCATTAATTTTGAGTGACCAGTTGAAGACAATGGTTTTCAACTACTGTATAGCACTGTCTAGGTTCAAAGGAGAGCTTCCAACTTCAGGCACAAATACCCTGTATTAAAACATATGGGCTCAACTGCAGAAGTCAAGAACCCCCCAAATGAGAAATGCAGTATTAATGGCTACCAGTGAAAAAGCCAGGTATAAGTCATTCACCATTGCATTTCAAAAACATTCTCTGACAAAGACATGAATAAATCATATTACTCCAGGGAATAAGTTAAGTGCTTTAAATCTCATTTCTCTTTCTTCAACTCCTACTTTCCAGTTGCTGAAACAAAAGAAATGAGGGTTCTTGGAAAACAGATCCTTTTTGTAAACAACTTGAATCCGTTCCCTTTATTGAATGGCCTTAATTCATCCCCAGATGATCATATTTATTATTATTATTATAAGCACATAGGAGCTCTGCTCACAGACAAAAATTTTATTGTGTCAGACACTAAGTAAAGAGAGAAAAAGACAATCCACACAACAGATAACTTACAGTCTAGGCCTAAAACAAGAAACAACCACTTACAGTGCCAGGGCACTTCAAGGAAACTGCACAGGTCAGAGAGATAAACCCTAATCTCAGCTCACCAGCAGCTCAGCTGTTGTTGAGTTTTTGATGGGCACCATCACAAAGAACATTTGAGGAAGGATTTGAAGACAAGGCTATTCAGGTGTTTGCATGCTTGCATGAATTTCTCCATGCTGTGGAGTTAAATATGGAGGCAGGCATGGAATAATGAATTAGCAACACAGGCTGGTGTGACTGAGCAGAAGTTCACCCTAATTGCAGCATCAACAAGACCAGCTGACATGAACATAGTCTATTATTTGGCTATACCTGCTCATCTACAACCATTTGTTGAAGGTACAGTCTAGGAAAAAAAATTATGTTTTTTATAACTCGGTGAAATAGAAGCCACATTTATTTCAACAACCTTTAAACAGTAAAGAAAAAAAAAAATCAGACACAAACAAGAAACTCATCTCACCTTGGATTGCTGCCATAATGCCACTGCTTAGCCTGGAGGATGAAAACCCCGGATTTACGCACATTTTATTTACATAACATTAGATAACAAAAAGGAGCTGGAGCAAGACGGGAGAGAGAATGAAAAAAAAATAAATACAATGTGGACATTCATCAGTTAAGTAGACATCGCTGCCTTGGATGTACACTCACGGGGAGAAGTGGCCAGTCTTCCTTCACTTGGCCAGGCTCAAAACAACCTCTAGTCACTGTGGTGGACGATCCCCATCAGCTGCAGGGCTCAGCAGCTGGCTTCCTTCACTATGGGAGATGTCAGGCAACCTTAATAATAGGCTTTGTTACCTGTCTCTCCTGTAATTACATTATTAATATTATAAGCAACATAAAGTTGAGGATGAAAGTGTTGACTAGGACTAGCATTTATCAAGGGCTCCCACTAATCTCCATATATGTGAAATTTTCTTATCTGAAAGATGTCTGCCTTCGTTTGGGCAGGAATTGTTAGGTAAATTGTTTTCCTTAAAATGTATGCCAGTGAAAGGCCTAGATTTTAGCTGTCTGGCAGAGCAATCACAGCAGCAGTTTGTGATGCTGGTTTTTCACAGAAATGTACAGTGGGCCAGCACATGCTCTCCTACAGTAAAACCCACTGAGACTAAGGAAAATGAATTTCTCCTGTGTTATTTCTCCACAGCATTTTGCCCTTACTGTTCCATACAGGTAATGAGGTTTCCCCTCTGCAAGGATGACCTGGTGGAGGACGTGTCCCAGACTTAGTCCCTAGGAATGCATGCAGAGCCTGAGAAACCACTGTGCTTTGAGACCAGCCACATGGAGCCCAGATGCTCCTGTCAGATCTGAAGCTGGCTCAAGGCAGCTCTATCGGAGCCATACAATCAGGAACTCCCTGTATTTGTGACAATGCCACATCTGATCCCTTCCTTCCTGGATATAAATAGTTTCATTCTGAAGAACAGACAGTGAGATATTTATCATAATTTCATGTTGCTATTTTTAAAAAATAGATACACACTTTTGTCATGCATAACTTCCAACATGAAATATTTTCGGTTTGTGGCAACACAGCTCCTGCTGCCCAACAGAGCACTCATACCCAGCTTGGCATGGCTTTTGGGATCGTTGGTCAGTTTAGTATGGACCATTTAAAAACAACAGGTTGATTATTATGAAGTACTAGAAGCATTTTGATGGTTTTCTTTCTCATCAGTTCATTGATTGCCAGTAATTGACTAGTGAATTTAGAGAACATTTCAACTGGCAATGCTACTTTTTAGTCTGTGGACAGACTTGTTTCTATTAATATTTAGTACATTTTGTGAAGGAACAGCTATAACGACAATAGACTTTACTCACCTTTTTGCTTTAATTGTACTAAGGGTACATTTTAGTTGATTCATTAACATTACACCTTCAATTACTGACATTTCATGAACATATAAATACAGAATTACACTCTTTGGATTCTGTAAATTTATTTTGTTAAACTTCCCAGAGAGAGTTAAAGGGTAAGAATGTTGTCCTCTGTGTATTTCCAATGGTTTTCATTCTATTTTTTTCATAATCAAAAGTGTTGGTAGGTCACATGGAATACACATGAAAATAGATGGAAGGAGTTATAACCTCCCTCCTTGCAGGGTGACAGAAGCCGTTCACATGTATCAAGAGGGGAACAACCTGTGTGGCAGCAGAGCTACCTGCAAAGCACTGTATGACGTTTATGAAACAAAAACCCACAGTACTGTTGAAAGACCCTAGTGACAGCCCACTCAGCTACAGAAGTGCTCTGGCTTTAGTCTCTCTCTCCCCTGTTAGGCAGGAATACTTTTTGCATCACTCCCCATTAATTTCCTAATTTCCCAATAATATACTAATATCCTTCAGACAATTCTAAAAAGCAGCCATTATTACTGGTGGATGACAAATGTCGATACTGTCAGTACCGGTGAATGACCAGCCAATGACTGGTGAAGACTGGTGAAGACTGGTGGCCTAGTTGCTTGTCTCAAATTTTGGGATAGGCTAGCACCTATTTTTCATTTTCATAAAGTTAGCACTGCTAATAAATGGAAGAACCAAATGCAGATCCTCAACCTAACTCAGCCTAAGGGCCTACAAGTAACTAGAAGCTGAGAGAGAGGCAGTGGGAATGCACGCTGGTTTGGAGTTAAATCCAGGTTTTTATTTTAAGCCACAAGAAACGGTCATGTTTGATTAAATTTCATTTCTTGAAAAAGGCATCTTGTACATAGCTAGGAGATAGCGTGATGTTATTAAGTGCTATAATTGGTGTGGTTTTGTTAAGACATACAGTATAAGTCATTATTTTGAGTAAACAGTAAATTAAATTAATATTTTACAAAACCGCAGCTTTCTTCCAGCTTTTGTCTTTCAAAAATAAACATGACTGCTTAACATTAAATTACAAAGAATTTTTGCTCACCCACGCTTTCCTAGTGCATGACACAGACAAGTTTAAGGTGCACAAGAAATACAGCCTAGAATCACTGTGAAGTCTTCAAAGTCATTCCCAAGGAACTTCATGTACATGAAAATTTGGCTTTTAATAGTTCATTTGGAACTTTTTACTTCATCCTCTGCTGATGTCAGATACTATGATGTCACAACAGCAGCTGGTGGTAATGCCTGATACCATACAGAAGAAGCTGTGTTCTGAATCAAATGTTAAGCAGTAGGAAAATAAAAAAAACAGTTTTCTTTCTATGCAAATAATTGCAGTATAGTGTGCTGATATAATTTATGCCTAGGTCTTGACTCAGATGCCAGTATATTGTTTTTATTCTAACATTACATACATAATAGCAATCAAACCACATTTTCCCACTTCTGTTGCAGATTTACTACAGTAATACAGAATTAGTTATACAGAAACACATAGCAGCAAACTACATGTGGTATCTGTATTGTGCAAAGTCTATATTATTATGGGCTTTCATAGAATCATAGAATCATAGGGGTTGGAAGGGACCTCGAAAGATCATCTAGTCCAACCCCCCTGCCAGAGCAGGACCACCTAGAGTACATCACACAGGAAGGCGTCCAGGCGGGTTTTGAATGACTCCAGTGAAGGAGACTCCACAACCTCTCTGGGCAGCCTGTTCCAGTGCTCTGTCACCCTCACAGTGAAAAAATTTTTCCTGATATTCACCTTGAACCTCCTATGCTCCAATTTGCACCCATTACCCCTTGTCCTATCACAGGTCAACACTGAAAAAAGCTTAATTCAAGCTTAATTCCATCTTTCACTATAAACATTTCTTTTGGTAACAAAGTACACAAAATGTTATGCAAAAGCCAAGCTGTTTAGAAATACAATCACTTGTGTTTTTAAAGCACAACAGCTCGTTAATAACTAGTCCTGAAGTTATATTGACCAAGCTGTCTTCAGCACCCAATTATTTCACTTTGTTTTGGCTATGCAAGGAAAGAAGTGCTCCAAACACATAAAACAGTATTTCTTATGCTTTCTGTATGATGTTTATAGAAATCTTAGTAGTTAATAAAAATTACAAAGAATAATAGATTCAATTCACATTTTTATACTTGAAGTTTAATCAGGAATTTTATTTCAAAATGTTTTGTGGATTATACAGGTGGGAGCTAGATGTAACAATTTTTCTAAGAAGCTACATACTTCTATGAGTTGACCTTCCTTCTGAGTAGTTGGTGGTGTCGATTTCTTCTGAGAATTTAAGGGGACACTTCTTGGAGATAAAGGGATAGAGAAAAAGGAAAGGAGGAAAGAGGCAATATCTGAAAAACAGCCCTTACTCATTTGCAATGTAGATAACTTTGTGCTTCTCAATTACTCCTATGTCATGCTCCAGTTGTTTCATCTGTGTTTCGAGCTTTTCTTTATAGAGCTTCTTGGGTATGGTGTCTATTGCTACTGGAAGACCTTGGAATTCACGATACAGTTCCTCCCAGTTCTTTTTCAGCCCCTAGTGCCATTGAAAAGGAATATGAAAATGAAATATATGAGAAAAACTTATTTAATTAAGAATAATATGCAAATTAACAACTTAGGGGGTTTTGCTAATATTGCATTTTCTAAGTGTCACTGCAGTGTTAAAATAATAAACATACAGACAATGTTTCATCATCTTAATTGAACTAAATTAATGAAATCCTTCAAAGTCAAAGTAGTTGCAACAAAAAATATTTTGACTCATTCTGATGCATTATAAGGAATGGTCTTTTAAAAACTTCTGTGCTTGGAGAGAAAATATTACAGTCTTATGAGGTAACAAAACAATAATTAAACTAGCCAATGAAGGATGAGCTACAAAATGGCTAAACTGAAAAAAAAGTGTGTCAATGTGACTAACAGTCAACTCTGTAGCCTAACTGGAACTCAAGGAAACCTGCACACTTCATTTCCAATCCTCACCATCTTTGAGAAACACCACACAAGGTAAATTAAGAGTGACCCTTACTCCATATAAGAGACTTTCTGTACTTTCAGTGACCTACAGGTAGGCAATCTTGACTGCTCCATTGTAGTCCATCATAAAAGCTGACTCAAAACTCGTATCACTCAAATGCTTTCTCTTCTCCAAAATGCTACAGGAATTATCTTACAAACTGCACTACAGAAACCAGTCTCCCATAAACAGCAACTTGGTTACCACAGGTGCCACCATGTCACACACAGTGGTGTTACCTACCTTAAGCAATCACAAGGGTATCAATATGTGCAACTCTAGCCAAAATTCAGTGGCAGTTTCAGTTTATCTCACCACCAGCTTCATTTTCTGTAACTGAGACTTTGCTTATACCATGGACATCAAAGTGATCCCACAATATTTTAACATCTATGAACAACTTTGAAAAGAATTAAATCTACATTTACAATAACATCTATAAGCAACATATTTACCACTCGGACTAAAAAACCTGCTGACCCTATCAACAATAATTTCAGTAACTGCTACCTCTCTTGAATGCTTCTGTGCAAATAATTACCTTACTAGATAAAGTGAACAGTATCACAAACTATCATCAAAAATTAAGAACTCAGTTAGTCTCTTGGGAACTAAAGTTTTCAACTCTCCTCTGTAACGAGAACAGGATTCAGCTGACACACTGATCTTATGGCACAGTGTGACTTCCAACTTCATGTCCTTCCGTACTATCATTAGGCACTTTTTGTCCCAGATTGGATAATTGATCAATATGCTGAAGTTAAACATAGAGAAATTATTCTTAATATATATTTAGCTTAGAACCTTGATTGCAGAACTCAAGGACTCTTGTGCTTAAAAACTTGTCTGATTTTGTCCACTGTATGAATTGATTTAATAGAAAAAAAATTCTCTCCCTGCCAATACTAAGAAAAACATACTTTTTAATATGAACTAATATTTCACTGATTCAAAGCAGTGTATTTATTGCATAACAATTTGTGCTTTTTGCATATTCATATTGGGCATTTAAATGTCGTCCATAAAGGTTATTCCAACAATCACCATATACAAATACCTACATAAATTTAAACCCCCTACCTCAGCTGTGAAACTTAAAGCAACATGACTATTTACTGACCTGTAGTACTACTTGTCTTTGCAATCCAAGGCTATAAAGTACTTAAATAAAGCTCCTAGGCTACCAGGAGTCAGGTATAGTTTACAAATACATATTCATATGTAATATGAAAATAAATACCGTAATTCTAAAACTTCCATAGAAAAGTAATTCATAGCTTCTTCTAAATAATTCTTTGTGGATATGAGTACAAACTACTTTGAAAATCATTGAAGAGAGTGGATTTTAAAACACTTTAGAGCATGCATCATTACAATTTATTCCTATAGCGTGGAGAGATCAAAAGCAGATCAGTGCTCCCTTCGTAAAATCTCCTTCACAGTCCCCTGACCACAATGTAACATGCTGCCTGCTGTTGCTGTGGGCTAGATACAACTGAACATCAAACTCTGCATAAGGAATTCTAATACATCCTGGATCACAGAGAAGTATGTATTGCATTTTTCAACATTCTCTTTTATTCGCTTAAGTTCCCAACCAAAGTAAGCATAATGGAGAGTTCAAAAAATATTGGCACAAATTATTACCCTTTATTTTCGTAAGTTCATGAGGTTTGATTTTGTCCTCAGACATCTATTGCCACGTATTCTTTCAAATCACATAGTGCACATGTGTTCTCTAGCAATGTCAATTATTTAAAAAGACAGGAATTCCCATATGTCTACAGTTGAGCACTGGGTTGAATGCCACATACCCTGGGGACGCAGATTTCTCCTGACAATATAATTGTATAAGTAATCTGGCCCATGAAAGAGCAAACTTTTTTGAAAATTTTATAAGAAAATACTGAATTAATAATAACAGTCTAAAAAAAAAATTCAGTGCAGTCTTCCATTTTAAAAATATAGAACATAATTTCAATCAAACAAAATGCAGAACTGTGAGCAGCTGAACTCACGTGCGTTTCTGCATGTATATTTTTGCTGCATAGTTAATTTGCTGGACTATCAACTTGTCCCATGCCTTTCCCACCATAAAAAAAACTAAATCTTCACCCTTGCTCTTATGTTCTTTATATTGCTGTCAATGCAATACCCTGCCTCTCTCTCATACGCCTTCCTAGCTTCCTCTGCCTGCTGCATAAGCAAGAGACACCACTGTGCTGGCTATTTTGGATCTTACTGATTAACCAGTTAATCTTTGCAAGTGAGTTAGACACTGTGTTTTCTCTCTGGATAGTCTCCTGGTTTTTTTTGTGGGAATTAATCATCTTGGAACTGTCCATCCATCTGCTAATTTGTTTCAGATGGCTGCTAAGATCAATTTATTAAGGGACAGACTGATAAATAGATACCACAGTAATGTAAGCCTCATTTTCATAGGAAATTTGGCTAAAATGTGGTCATAAGAAATTCAGTTCAAGGACAGGATATACTTTTTAAATTTCTCTTTTCTGCTCTATTTCTTTTATGGTATTATTTCTCTTTAGAAATTAGTGTGCAATAAAAACTGTATGAAAGACAGTATCCAAAACAGCTTGACAAAATAAAAATTTTCCAGTTAGTTCTAGGAATATATTGCAATTTAATTCTGTTTTCTGGTTTTGCCACATTTTAAAGCATGATCTTATGCTTGAGTCAGTGAGGTCACAATGTGAAGATAGAAACTGTCTATAACAGTGCCAATGTTAAGCATCAGAGGAAAAAAAATTAAAAAGCTATGTGTAAATTTGTATCTTTCCATGATTCACAAGCAGAGTCTCAGAACTGTTACTAAGTCCAAATAGGTGATTTTCTGCATTCCTTTGAAGTTTCACTGGAATTCCAAGTAATTAAGGGGGATAGGAATCTTACAGAATTTAAATACTGGTAAAACTGAACTAAAACTGTAACAAGATCAGTTCTCTTCAGTTCAGTCTACAACTGTTCTACAGCTCCATCTAGTGAAAAAGTAACCAGCTCATTTGCCTTGCTTAAAAAATATATATGGACTTACGTTACCTTACTTAATCTTTTGTACGTTATCAACACTAAATCAAAATATGCACCTGCAGAAGGCTTCTCCTTTCTTCATCAGACAGCTGTTTCATGGCTTTTTTCTTGAAATGCTCCAAGACACTGGCCTCATACTCTTTCTGAGCATTCTTCATTTCTTCATTTCTCCGTATTACATATTTTGGTGTAACACCATAATCCTACAAGGGTAAGGAACAAGTTTTTATGCATGCTTTTAAGAAGGAAACAAAGACATAACTGTCATCTATAGTATATTACATTTTCAAAGACAGCTTGAAATGCAACGTTGTGCCACCAAACAATAAAATCTTTAATCACCGTGCTTTTACACATATCAAACTTGATTGTCTTTGTAGCCCAAGCAAAACATATAAACAACTCTCTTCAATTTCATTTTGCAACCTTGGAAGACAACAGAATCCAGAAACCAAAACATGTGTTTATAAGAACGGATGGTTGATTGAGGAGTTTGAAAGCTGTTAATGACAGCAAGCTATTTTACATCTTTATGTGGTGTCAGATTCAATGTTCTGAAACACATTCCTTAGATGCTTTCTTAGAAAAAATCTTCCTGTATCCTGATTTTTGCTGAACACTGTGTGCCACAGAAAAGAGTGAATAGTGTTAACATACACAAGACAACTGCACTAGTTAGAAATGATAAACCATCCCATAGTGGAAGTGGTAGAATTGTGTTTCTGGGAGGAAAAATACATATCTGAATATCCCGGATGTACTTGGGGGAATGCATCTATTTTGCCTTATCCTTTGTAAAATAAGGCATAGTGAGCTCTGCCAGAAGGTATCCGAGTCTATCTTCTTTCTACAAAATGCTAAATGATTCACAGATTTTTTAAGTGTTGGGTAGCACTATGACCAGCATTGATTATATCTGTGTTTAGCCATGAAAACATACTGCAAAGACTTTTTTGCATCTTCTCTCTCATGGTTATGTCATATGTCTTTTCTCTTTTTGCATAATGCTCTGTCACGAGTTACCTGGTCGGATAAGCCAGACTCACAATACATCATGTTTTCCTAAGCAGTGGGATGAAATGGACTGTTCTGGTGCTTGAAGGAGGTTGTCCTTAAAGACATGCCAGCGCTCTCAAGCTCCTTTGCTTTCCAGAGCTGTCTCCCACAGGCTCCTACGTACTAGTTCCCTGAATAAGTTGGTGTTTGCTCTCCTGGAGTACAGGGCCTGTACACTACTACCTGCCTCCCTGAGGAGAAGGGATATATTGAACTACTTAGTGGCCTGTGCAGCCAAGACTACTATTGATAATCACACCTCTGACCAGTTATTTCTCATTTGTAAGTACCAGAACCAGAACATGACCACTGTTGGCTCATCCACCATCTGTGTTAAGAAGCTGTTGCTGACACACTCCAGGATCCTTTTGGAATTGCTTTCATCTCACTGTGTCGTCCTCTCGGCAGATATCGAGGAGGGTCAGTTCTTCCGTAAGACGCTGCACTGTGATCTGATTGGTTTCCTCAGGTCGTTTAAAGAGACTCCACCCAGTTCCTCACCTGATTGCATGGTGCGTAGCAAACACACGCTTGACACTTACTGCCCTTTCCTCTGGTCCTGACCCACAGGCTCAAGCAGCCTGTTGCCAATACCATAGAAGAGCTCTGTGTATTTGAACAGCTACTTCACCCAAAGGGCAATGCCTCCTGTTCTTCCCCTCTTGTCTTCCCTAAACAGCCAGCATCCATTCATCACAGAACTCCATTTGTCTCCTGATGAGATACTCCCTGGGTTCCCAATGCAACACACATGCTATTGCTTTAGCAGCTCCATTCTGCCAATTTATTTCTGACAGCACAAGCAAGGGAATACAGAGCAAAGGCAAGGCACAGCTTTAGTGCCAGTGATTTCTCCTTGATGAATTTCAAAGGTCTACCACAAACAGCAATGGTATCTAAACATATCAAAAAGAATCAAACATTTCATAGGAGAATGCAACAGAGAACCTAAACCAGGCATTACTGCTACAATTTCCACTATAAAAAAACCTACCTTATTAAAAAAACTTACCTTTTTTTTAATATATTTTGGAACAAGTCCTGAAGTTTCAAGCAGATATTTATCTCCCTGTCTTCTATCAACACAAATAGGTTGAGGCTTTTTAGGCAATCCTGTGATAGCAGCAACTGCATTGGTATTTATAAAATTCTTTTTACTCTGAATTCCCATAACTGGGTGATCTGTCCTCCGTGGCACTGATAGTGCAGGCAGTTTCTTACTATCCTGTTCTTTTTTTCCTGTGAATTGAGCATGTAAACATTCTCAGCAATAACCATGAAGAGCTTTGCCATTTTAAGTTATTATATCTTTCAAAAGGGAAAAATTATGTACAAAATTACATAAGAATAGAAACCAACTGTATCTACAATGAAAGAACTGAATAGCAATGTACTATGCCAAAAATGAACATGCTTCTTTGGCATAACAGAATTTTCATAACCTAGGAAATACTATGTTGTTTTACACGGATTTTCCTTATAATACACCACACATTTCCTCTTAACTGCAGTAGTACAGGACTGTTTTCAGAGGTAATTAAAACTACTTTTACTAGAGCTGGTCTTTGTCAGGGCCCTTAGGCAGTAATGGCCCTGCCCAGTTTCACCTGACACATCAACCCCACACCCTTGAGGTCAAGAACCCCATTTCAGCTCTGCCCTGTGCTGTCAGTGCCTGGCTGAGCACTTTCAGCCATGCCTGCCTCTAGTCCTTTTCTGAAGAGCTATGTGGAATCAGCAGATGGAACCAGCCCATTGTCCCATCTTGCCTGATGTTCACTAGGCCATTGATAGGACACATTTCCATCACCACTCTGTCGCCGTAGAGGTGGTCCAGGCGACACATAGACACCAATGTCAGAAGGTGAAGGAACAGCACAAACGTTATTACAGTAAGCGTCTTTTATAGATTCATTGGATTATTGACATTCATGCTAAAGGTTTATTGGCTACTAAGTTCTTACGGTACATTCATTGGTTCCTGAACCCGAACATTCACCGAGGCCAAGATGCAGTGTGTTTATCAGGTGTTTATCATTCTATTCTCAAAGCTCAAGCTCTCAGTGTGTGAGAAAGTACACTTTCCCACAAGCAATAGCTGCAGCTTGCTGACTGCAGCTAACAGTGGAAATCAGATCAGACTTTCAGTATCCACACTACTCCACTCTGCTTGCTTTTCTTGGGTGTGGTGGGACTGTACCCTGTTGGTGAGGTCATGACGCAGCCTCCATTGTGGTTTCCCTCAGTTTCTGGCTGACCTCCCTTTAGGGAAAAGCCCTGCTCTTGCTGTTCTGCAACACTTGTAAACAATTTCTCACAACCCGTTTTCCAAGGGATATAGAAACTCTTCCTTTTTAGTGTAATCTTTTCTCCAAAGCACCAACAGTCAGTAGTCTCCTACGTAGTCTCACTTTAGGTGAGTAATGAAAGGCAACTCATTTCCCACCATATTTGCCAGCAGCTATAACTCTAACTCACAGTCATCGTCAGAGATAATGATTTGATTCAGGTCGTCTGAGTTCATGTTCTTCTTTGGCAGAAAGCAAGTGTAATGTCACAGTGACAGAGCTCCTTCCTACAACAGCTGGTTTCCTGATCCTGACCCCACACACCAGTGCTTTCCTGGGTTTTGTTTTTACTACCTGATAGCTTGCCATAACTTAGTACTGTAGGACACATAGACTTAAATCTCCATTTCTCTTAGCAAGTCTTTTCAGAATTGTGACCTCTGAAGCTTCCCAGGAAGCACTGCCTCACCCTTATCTGCAGTACACTGCTTCTCACTTGCTGTTTTGGGATCCCCCACTTCTGGAGCCAGCAATCGAACTTGGTTAAAATGAATGCCAGAGTCCAGTGACACAAGAAGATTCAGTGGAAGGTTAAGAGACACATCTTTTGTAAGGAAGTGGTGACTAATCAGGCTCTAAAAGAATTACACTATCACAGACATTAGGGAAAAAATCAATCTTTTCATTCTGTCCTTGCAATCTGTTTTTTAACTAGGTGGATCAAACCCTTTTTTAAGGAGGCACAGATACATATTCCCATTTAGACAACAGATAACTGGTTAGATTCCAAGTGATGAAAGTGCCATGCTTTAAAAGAGGTGATTAAGCAGTGCAGCTTCTCTGAGGTATGACAGTCCGTCCAACAAAGGTACAAGAACTTTCTGAGTTAATTATATAGTTCTTTCTCAAGAACTAATGTTAAGAACTAATGATGGCAATGAAATTATTAGTCTAGATTGAAGCTATGATGTGTCATAGTAATTTTGAGGCTTTGGTATGTTGACTCCAAATGCAAACACCAAAGCATATATTGCTATTATGAAAGCATGAATCAACAAGTTGAATCAGAAATATTGTGAGCTGCTTGTCTGAGAAAGATGAGTCGGAGTGCTGCATCTTGATACACAGCAAATTTGAAGTAGACAACACTGATTTTATAATAAAAGTACTTAAAAGGGATTTTATGGACTGCTCCAAAATATTGGTAAATCAACCTTCTTTCCTATGCCCATCTAAAATTCTAGTGTAGTAATTTAACAAGGTTTTGAACTTGGAAGCACTCATGTGCAGATGTCATGAATTATTACATTCCAGTACACTGAATGCTCTTCAGATTTCCTGAAAAAGTGAAGGCTTTATTAAAAAACGACCCAAGATGTGTATGGGACCTCTGGGACCAAAGCTCATCTGAAGGTTCTAATAATGGATACAGCCTGAGGCATTAAGCCTCCAGAGCCTGCTGGGCCAGCCTCTGTTCTCAGCGCTAAAGCCTGCTGCATGTGCAGCGCAACTTTGCGTGCTGGATGTTACCTTAGACAGCTTATTTTTATACTGTATGTTAAACTCTTATTTTTCCAGGCTAAAACAAATTTCAAGCTGAAACATTATAACTCAATTACAAATTCTGACAGCAATGTACTTGGAACTCCAGCAGCACTAAGGTCACTCCACCCTTGCAGAACCGGCCATGAGGCTGAACATTAGAACCATCAACTCCTTACACCAAGAACTATGGTTTGTGCCCAAAGATAAGATGCACTTTGCAACAAAAATATTCCAAACTGCTTATTTCTGTGACATGCAGCTCTGAAAAAAGGTTCTATGCTTTGAACACTGCCAGCCAGTTTAATGCTACAGGATTAAGAGATGACAATGAGTGCTGAAGAGTAAAAGCTGTATGGTGCTTATAACATCAAGACAAACATGCATAATTGCCCCATATCTATTCAAGCATTAAAAACAATTAGCTCACTTTTAATTCCCCTATTCATTTTATTTACTATAAATATTACTGAATATTAATGATCAGTTGCAGAAAAAACTGATGTAGAAATCTAATCTAATTAGAAATTGAAATATCAGCAGAATAGAACGTATCATCAACACATCTTCAACATCTGAAGAGCTGCAGCCAAAAGAGATATAATTTTTCTTTATATTACAGCTGGTTTTGTACCACATGACAGTAAATACTTATTGTATTTTCTAATAACATATATAATCTTTGTTGCTCATTTCAGTATTTTACACAATAAATAAGGAACATTTTTGTAAGAGTCTCCATAACTGCAACTTTCCACATTAATATGATCAATTTTAATATTAAGACCATACAGTACATTTCAGATATTTCATGTCCACACTTACTTGCTGGTAGCTTGGGTTCCTTTGAGTGCTTCTGCAGAAAATTTTTTGGAGATGGCACTGCAACTTTTGCTGGTCCCATAGTTTTCCAGTGAGCTTTATTTTCCTCAGCGTCACGTTTCACGGATGGTCGAAATATGGATACATACCTTAGAAAATAGCCATACAAAAGTTAAAGGTCAGAAAATTATTCTAAATACTTCTACAGAGAATACACATTTTTGCAGTAGCTCACACCAAAAGCCTAAGCTATTTCATTTTGTAATCTCTCTCAAATAAAGGCCACCACTCATACAAACTCCATCCTAAGGGCAAGCCCAGCACTGCACTGACAAGTGTTTTTTCTTACGCTGAAGTTGGCTTTGCTTCTTCCTTTTGTGTCTCAAAGGTCAGTACTATTTGGGAAGTAGTTCCTGTAGGCACTATTCATATAAATACTGAACACATACATTTTAAAACTCAAGAAAACCTAAATTTTGGAAATAAACTGCTTTGACTATGTCTTGCATGTGTTCATTACTTCTATGAGGTTGTGCATTACACACTTTGGTCTTTACTTTTTAACTAACTCCATTTTGAAAGTTTTTTTTTTTTTTCTTAACATGGCTATTTATTTTGATCAAAAATGCATCCAAAATATGCAGCTGTTGTACATCTACAGGAAAATGGCAGTCATGAACCTACTTGGCTAGATTTTCTACATTTGAAAGTCTGCAGTATGAAAAAGATGTGGCTTTTGAAATGGCTGAGATACATTGACACTGCAGCTGCAGTACCATGTAGGACTTTACATAGCAATCAAATACATCTAAGGAAAAGCTCGGCTGGCTTAAAAAAGAAGAGATCTGTATTGATAATGAGATCATTCACTGCTTCATTTTATGAGATGAAGCATATTTTAGAGGTATGTAAAACCTCATGCTTCAGCAAACATGTCAAACATAGTTGACAGTGGGACAGAATGTCATCGATCATCAGTTTATGTTATTGCTGTCCACCATATCACTGTCTCAGTGTTCTTGTCGAACCATCTGTTACAGAGTGTTGCAAGAGCCTGGATGATGGATGGATGCCTGATCAACAGTTGCACTCGCTTTACACAGAAAAAATATGTGTTTATGGAAAAAAACTTTACCATGTTTTCAGGTAAGGAAAACAAAGAACAAAAAAGATTACATATATGCAACCTATTTTAGAGAAATACTGAAACAGTATGAAAGAAACATTGTAATGCTGGCCCAGTGAATGGAAATCATAACAGCAACACTGGTAAAAGCTTTTGTATGTGAGCTGCAAATGTCCACTATTTGTACTTGATCATAACATTAGAACACATAAGAGGACTTCATTAAAAATGTGGAATTATTTTGTCTCCTGGAGATTTGGTCTCCCAAATCAGAAAGAGGATCATCACAGACTCACAGAATGGTAGGGGTTGGAAGGGACCTCTGGAGATCTAGTCCAAGACTCCTGCCAGGGCAAGTTCACCTAGAGTAGGTTGCACAGGACTGCATCCACGTGGGTTTTGAAAGTCTCCAGGGAAGGAGACTGCACAGCCTCTCTGGGCAGCCTGTTCCAGTGCTCTGGAACCCTCAGAGTAGTTTCTCCTTACGTATGAGTGGCACTTTCTCTCTTCCAGTTTGTGCCTCTTGCCTCTCGTCCTGTTCCTGGTCACCACCGAAAAAAGACCAGCCCCATTCTCATGGAATTACTACTAGGGTGGAAAAAGGCCTTTTTTATGTTTTTAAGGTAAGGGGTGAGAAATAGAAGCAAAAGAAACACTGTCAGAAGACACACCTAACACATGAAAAGAATCGAGGTGTGGCACTGGGAAAAGTTTTTAAAAGCCCACAACTTTTCCGCTGCTTACTGAAAAATTGTTATAAGTGCAAATTCAAAGATACCATGTAATTCTGCTGCGTGGAAAGGCTGCTTTGTAAATTCTTTGTCAATGAACAACACGGCACTGAAGATACCAAACTGAACCACCAGCCCACAGAGCAGGCTGCAAACTCTCATATGTTACTTAGTGACTCATTAGGAGGAGCACCTACTACACAAACCCGAGATTTTCCTTTGATACCAGTTTCCCGCCTTGCCAGAGCCGGTCACCGTGTCAGCAAGGGGGACTGTCACACGCACGCACCTGGGAGGTTTGACAGGCTTCTCCTCCAGGCGGGGCAGGAGGTTGCAGATGCTCTCGTGCGCACAGGGCGCCGGCATCCT